GACCTGGGTGACTCAGTATGGGCTCAACTCTGAGCTTAGATCCACATGGCTTCTTATCCTCCTGTATCCTAGCAGGGCTTATTTTCTTAGCAAAGGTAAATATATGAGAGAACAGAGCAATAGGCAAACCTTGTGGAGGACCATGTTAGAAGCAACATACAGATTTTCCACCTTTACTAACCTACCTGCCTGACAACAGTTCAAATTTAGGCCCTGCTGCTGGGCATTGCCACCAATGTTATTTGAATACAGTTTGGCACTTCTTGTTTATAAAGGGTCAATGTCTTCTTTTTTGGTACAATATACCTTGTTTATACAGCACTGTAAGTTTTGTTGATTGTACTGTAGTGCAGTTTTATGTTCTGTTGTATATTACTGTACTGTACATAAGAGTTATGCAAATGAAAACAAAGTCATCAGGCTGGGGTTTCCTTAGACCATTTATTTGTTCTGAATATGGTAATGTACACACTATGTACAGGTCCTTATTTAGTTACTGATTAATTTAATGACTTAGTCATGGGAATGGAACTCAGTTGTTAAATGAGAAACAATGCTTGTACTGTCGTTGATTGGCAGCAAGTTTTTGAGCTAAATCGAGTCACAAAGGCACCTTAGAATCAGGGGTAAGGAAATACTGCTCTTCGCAGAAGAGGATATAAAAATGTCACCAATGGCATGGGTATAAGGAAGAATTGGACTTTTTTTTTAACCTGTGTATCATCATCCGGATGGGTCATGTTCTGCCAAAAGAAAGACCGCTTCACCCGGGCTGTAGCCCTTATCTCCCCTCTATGTTGCATTGCATCGAGAGTGATCTGGAAAACTGGTATCTGTCACATGCATGACCACAGTTTAATAAGATGACATTCCTGTTTAGATTAAAATCAAACAAAAATGAGAGGGAATGGCATAATACACTCCAAGGCCTCAGTAATATACAGGGTGTTAAGCTCACAATAACTATAAATACTACTCTCTGCTAGTAATTTGTGTTAGGGAGTAAGTGGTCTTTATCGATACCTAAGAGTAAAGAGGAGAAATTTCACTTGATTTTCTTTTGTCTTCCATAAATTTCAAGTTTTTACAAAAGCACAGACTTTATTGCCCTACATAAACTTCAAAGATAAAATATAAGGGAGAAGAAAGAAAAAGAAAGGAATAGAAATGAAAACTTCTCCATAGTAACGAAAAAGGAATTTCTGATTCTGCCTAAGATTACAGTTTCTCATTCCTATGGAAAGTTTGGCTTAAAATTCTTGAAGAGACTGAAAAACAAGGGAAATGATCTGGTACATGTGATTAAATAATGTCAAGTTAGGAGTATAGTACATGATTCTTATCTAACTGATTACCTAAATAGACCTTCAGCTTAAATTTTAAACATTAGTGAATTTTTATTTTTCATTCTAAAGCATCACAAAGTATATAAATGTCTTGGTTCCATTCTGGCACATAACTCTTTCAGACTATGCCTTTTTTTAGTAGTATAAATTCAATCTGTATTTTCTCGAAGGGTTGTTTTTTTTTTTAGTGAAATTCCTTCTCCAGAACTTCCACACTGTTCTGGCAATAAAATATAGTACATGCTAAAAACAAAATAAAGGGCTGGGGATTTAGCTCCATCATATAAGTGCCTGGCCTGGCCATGAGTTCAATCTTCAGTACCAAAAAAAAAAAAAAAAAAAGAATAAAACAAACAAACAAAATAAAACTAACAAACCTCATTCTTTTAACTCAATAGCAGTTATTTCTAGCTTATGCACAGCTAATATTCCTAGACTCAAGACATTTAACAATATTTACTTTTGCTGCTACCAATGGCCCTGCTATTCACACATTCGTATTCTGTTCTGATTTATATTACATCTTCCTACCTGTATACCGTTGACTTGTTCTTTATACTGGTAAATTAAGTAAACTAAGCAAGCTATTGCTATAGCTAATGTCCAGATGTCTTGCCAAAGCCTCATGAAGTCATGGGGTGGGGTGGGGCAGTGGGCGGAGATACTTTTCAAAGGTTGGATCTAGAGTGTGTGATGCTGGGATCAAGGATGTGTGATTGCTAAATCAGTCCTCTAATCCATGTGGCATAGTTTTGAATAGGACTAAGAGTGTGAGGGCTACACCCACCCCAGAGTTGATAGTTTGCATTTAAAAAAGGCACAGAAAGCAGGACTAGTGTGCTCTTGCCTACCCTGCTCTGCCCTGCCGTAACTGTTTCTCCTGTGCCATGTCCCTCTGCCTCGGAGCCAGCTAACTATGGACTGAAACCTCTACAGACTGTGAGCTAAATTCCTCCTTTAACTTTGAGCGGTGCGTATTTTGTCTCAGCAACGACAGAAAAGTAACTATGACAAATATTAACTAGCATACAATCGACCACAGCAGTAGAAAGTATGTATCTTTGCCTTCTTTGTACCACTTTTTCCTGTTTGGGTATTTCCTCTACCTGGCAAGCTCTTACTCTATTCTGTACCTGGATGTTTTTGATTCCCTCTAGTTTTAAAGTTAATGTAAAGAAGGAGGGGTGGCAAACTTCGCACAAAGCAGTATGCAAATGACAGAGGCAAGAGAATCACAAACTTGAATCCAGCTTGGGCAACTTAGTGAGACTCTCCAAAAAAAAAGGTGGAGGTATATAGACATAGCTTATCGTGAAGATTCTGTGTTCAATTCCCAGTATCAAAGGAAAAAAAATAAAAAAGAAATATTACCATTATTTTAATTTACAAAGTCTCCACTAAGTTTTTTAGTTACTTCCAAAAAATGCTTTAAAAAAAACCCAAAACACCACAGAAAATATTTATTTGGCCTCCTAATGCCATGTCACTCTCAATATTTTCTCTGAATACTTGGCATAAGATAGAGAGAAAAATAATCGCTTCATGCGGTTCTGTTCTTGTCGTTACTCATCTGTACCCTCAGACTATAAAAGGAGATAAAATAGTCTGGTCCAGCTTCCAGTTAACTGTCTAGTATCTCAAATTAATAAATACCCTAGTAGCCCAAGAGGATTCTTAAATCTATTTTTAAAAAGTGCATCTTGCATGCACGGAAAGTTGCTTTCAAAACTACAACATTTTGTTAAAACATAATAAATGGCAAGTTTTCTTCTTGGCTGTTAAAAAAAAGTGCACCTTGCAGTGAGAGGCATATTGAATACAATAACACACAGTGTTAGATCTGCCACTTCCCATTCTTTTATGCATCCAACACTGCTCCCCCAGTGATACTATGTGTGAAGTAAGATTGCTTTGCATCAGACCAAGGTGCTGTGAAAGGAACTTGTACACTGACTTAAAGAAAATGTATGGTTAAAAAAGTGACACTGGGAAACTTAAATTATGTATAGAGAAGTACACTTGCAAATTTGTAAATTTGGAACCTAATGTATGCTCCATTAATCAGGCTAAAGTGTCTTGGAATGTTTCTGTGGGTTATACGTTTCTAAGAGTTCTCTACTACACTAGTCATGTTTTAATATATAGAAAACCTTGGAGGAAAAGATAAATAATTCTGGGTAGTTTCATCAACACTGGTGGGATGTAGTGCAACAGCCTCAAGCAGGCAGAGTCAGATCAATATCCAACAGAATTTTCTAGTTACGTAGACACTGCAGGGTGATCTTGTGCCATCCTGTGAGCTCATCTCCATGTTGGAAGTGGAACCTCTCTGCACATCTGTCTGGAACTACAATCTACAATTCCTGGCAGACGAGTGACAAGAGGGACAGTCCATTCCAAAGTCAGATTCAAAAATCTCATGGTAGTGTGTAAAAACCTATACATTCTATATTTAGAAAGCAAGTCGTGACTATAAATTTACAGAGCTAAATATAGTGATACACATCTGTGATGTCAGTATTATCAGCTGAGAAGCTTTTTTGTCAAAAGGTAGGGTGGGTGCTGGGGATGTAACAGTGCGAAGAATGTGGGTTCAATCCTCAGCAGTGCACATGCACACAAATCATACATTTGTACTTCCTCAGAGGAGACCAAGAGAGTATAATTGATATTTCTTTGTGAAAAAAAATCTATATTACCATTTATTTTATTCAAACCAGGTCTTATTTTTCCCTCCTGCAAACTATGCCTAACACTGTGTGTTAGAAATTTGACTGCTGAAGATGGATCTTTAAACATAGCTTGAGGTTACTCCTCAGAAACTGCTGATTTCACCGAAATAAAAATAAAAACTAGAACTACTGAAATAGTAGCAACTATTGTTCAGAATACTGCCTTGATATCATTGTGGGAAAATTTAAAGTGTATATAACTCTGAAAGGGATCCGGTAATATCAAAATATAGAGACCGTAAATCTGGAGAGTAATAAAAGTCTTCCAAAAAATAATAAAAGTCTTTCAGATCCTGACATGCATTTACAGCCTTTGCACAATTTTTCTGCCTCATTTTATACACTGTAGAAGAGGAAAGGAGCTGTTATAAATCCTCTTGCTTTTGGTCTTGTTTTATATTCTTCTAGACACCCTCCCCTGACTTCAAGCTTTAGATCTTCTTGTGGAGCATCACAAAGTCGCCATCAGTTTCAGTCTCATAATTGTCACCACGAGCACACTGAGTGACCCATTTAGATTTCAACCTGAAAAATTCAAATAGAAACATGATCCTGTTCAGTGTGGGAGAAAATCACTGGCTAGAGACCTGCTGACCATAACCATGGACAGTGGAGCCTCCTCCAGAAAACATGGACATATGCAGATCTGAGTACAGAAAATGGGTCACAACTTTTGGCAAAGCTAATACAGATGCTGTAATGTGACAGCGTTTGAAATGTCATGCATAAATTGTAGCAAAACACTACAATACTTTCTTCCCTGTAGAATACTCAACAGTTCGATACATATATCATGACAGACCTTTGGATGTTGTTTTATTTGTTCCTGGACAATGTCTACAAAAAAATCCAAAATAAATCATTGAACAATCTGTAATGTATCTATAACGTATCTGAAAAAATATAATCAGCTCATTTCATTAATTTCTAGACTAATTTTTCTTCTTTTGCATGTCATGTTTGTGCAGGGGCCATGCTAATCTTCTCTGTATCATTCCAATTTTAGTGTATATGCTGCCGAATAAGCACTCATTTTTCTTTTTTTGTTCTCAACACTTTTGTATTGCTTTTCCGACCTCTTCCACTGACTAATTACAGAACTTTATGGCATCAAAACCTAAATTCCTCTGATTGCTGAAGGAAGCAAAACTCACCAGCAAACAAATAATAGCTAAATTCAACTAAATTTCACTCTCAACCATATGCACATCCTGATATTAACTTGTCTGCCTCTAGATCAGAATGATTTATCAATCATAGGCCACAAATATACATAGGCTGGATAACAAATCTGTCTTGAAAATCACACATAGAAAATATAGTCATTTCCAAAGCCCTTACAGGATTTTTGAGATGGCCATGAAATTAAATAAAGTATAACAGATGCCCTAACTTAGTGAAAGTCATGGTTTAGAATAGCTCAATCTGAGGAAATAGGAGTTGCTTCTTCAGAGTCACTTTATGTTGTCTAATTGACAGTCACTGCAACAAAACCAAAACAAATATATCACTCCCCCAAGAGAACTTAGGATGACCCATAGGATTAAGGTCTCATAGATAGAATTATGCTTGGTGGGCTAGTCAGAGAACTCATACAAAAAGTTTGTTGAAGAGGTAAAAATTAGCAAATAAATATATGAAAAAATGTTCAACATCATTGGTCATTCAAGAAATGCAAATTAAAACACAGAGATTCCATCTCACATTGGAAAGAATGATTATTATTAAAAAAAATCACCCTATAACAAATACTGGTGGGGCTATGAGGAAAAAGAAATCCTTCTCCATTGTTGGTGGGAGTACAGACTGGTGAAACCACCATGAAAATCAGGGGGGAAATTCCTCAAAAAACTAGAATTGAGGTTTCTGTTGGACTCCGTTATTCTCCTTCTAGGTATTTTTCCAGGAGAATTGAAACATTATACCATAATGACACACATACATCCATGTTTATAGCAGTATCATTTGTAATAGCTAAATCTGGGAAACAACCCAAATGCCCATCAACTGAAGAACGGATAAAAAAAGATGTGATTTTTAATATAATGGAATACTATTCATCTGTAAAGAAAAATAAACTCAAGTCTTTGGTATATAAATGGATGCAAATAGAAACCATACTCATAAATGAAATAAATCAGACTCATATGTGTAAACATATATTGTTTGATAAATTTTACATGCCTGTATCTGATAATCTGAGCAACTGTTGTGAAGATGACAATATGCAATATAATAACCATTGTTAATTTCCTATCATCTCGTTTTGAAATTCTGTATTTTTTGGTCTTTTTATTGTCTTTAAAATAAAAAAAATTGTGCTACAGCACAGTTATTACACTTATCAAAAAAGACCTATTACATGGAAACCAGTGTTGTTTGTGCAGTGTGGCAGCTGAATTCAAAACTTTTCTCACCAGATCCATTCCACTTACCTTTTTTAGGTAAATGGATACAACTAGAGATCATATTCATTGTAGTATGAAGTTCCCTGGCTACAAGGAGTCCATTGCTTAATTAATGAGAATATCACTAGTAACCATGAGAGCATAAAGGCTCATTTTCTGCATATTATATAATTTCATATTTTTCTATGGCTCTAGAAGCTAGTAGGTAGTCCCCAAAATGACTAACATTGAATTGCCTGTTACACTGTTGACATGCTGACCCAAAGGCAGGTATAATTTCAATTTAAATATTCAAACATCACTTTCACAGTGAGGTTGAGAGCTAACAGTCATACTCATATGTTTCTATTAGCCTGAGGTTATGAAATCTTTCTGTAAAATTCTTAACCAAAAAAAAGAATCACCGAGCATGGCAGTGCATTCCTGTAATCCCTCAGAAGGCTAAGGTAGGAGGAGTTTTGCAAGTACAAGACAAGCCTGGATGGCCCCAAGATCCAGCCACAGCCATGCTGGCACCCAGACAACTGCACAAAGAAGCAATTCGCCTGCCCTCTTGGTAAGCACCTTCCTCTAGTGTGAGCCAGGAGGAGACCCAGTCAGCGTCTCCTGCGAGCCTAAGGGTGTACAGGCTGGGAATCAAACATCCCAACCCCATCCGGCGTTGGCAACTGGGGACAGAGGTCTGAGCATCTCTTGGGAGGATGACTGGATGCAGTATAGCAAATATGGGAGGATCTCCTTCTATCTTCTTTTTGAAACCAAATGCAGTTTTCACTGTTTTGTTTCATTATGGTTAATTGTTTTACTCTGTTCTCCTTTGATTGGTTTTATAATGTTCTGTCTTTGGTTTGATTTTATTATACCAAATTGGATAGATAACTATTGTGAAAATAATGAGATATACTATGGTACCTATTACTATTATCCTGGCAACCTGCTCTAAAGTTCTGTATCCATTTCACCGCATTGTCTTGATTGTCTTTGTTCTGTTGTGTTTCTACTACTTAAAAAAAAAAAAAAAAAGACCAGCCTGGACTACAAAGTGAACCCAAGGCCACCCAAGGCCACCCTGAATTGCATAGTGAGACCCTGTCTCAAAAAGGCAAAAAAAAAAAAAAAAGAAAGAAAGAAAGAAAGGAAGGAAGGAAGATTAAAGGAAAGATCTCTTAACCAAGCACCAAGAATAAAGGAGTATCACTTTCTTGATTTTGCATTGCAGTACCCTATTTCTTGAGTCAGTAATTGGAAGTGTTTTTTTGAGGCACAATATTATGGTTTGTGTCTAGATATCTCCCCAAAGCCTCATGTGGTCATAGGTCCGGCTATTTTAAAGGTGGCTGAATCTAGAATGCATGATGCTGGAATTAAGGGTTAGTGACTATTAAATGAGTCCACTGACTGGTTTGGCTCTGCCCTCATCCTGGTAGCCTAGATAAGAGTATAAAGAGGCAGTAAAAGGTCACTAAGATCCCTTGCTTGCTTGCTTGGCTACCTTCTGCCTGCCATGGACTGTTTCTCCTCTGCAATGCCCTTCTGCCCTGTCCCACCCTGCCTAGGAGCCAGCCACCTGTGTACTGAAACCTCTATAAACAGTGAGCCAATAAACCTTTCCTCCCTTAACTTTGGCTATAGGATATTTTGTCTCAGCAACAAGAAAATAACTTATGACACACAGTCTCACCATGTAATTCAGGCTGCCCTTGAACTCACTATGTAGCCCAGGCTGGCCTTGAACTTGTGGCAATCTTCTTGTCTCAGCCTCCAAAGTGCATCAGCATACCCAACAAGGAAGTATTTGTTTTAAAGAAAATGTTAACAAACTTTGGTTTTCTGGATAAATCCAGCCTGTCACTTGTTTACATTAAAAAATCATATTGTAATCCAGCATCACTCATTTTTGTTTTACCTATTGCATGAAGTGCTTTTGTTATACAACAGCATAATAGATAGTTCTGTTGCATACAATGTGGACCAAAAGGCCTGAAACATTTACTGTGTCTCTTGCAAGGAAAAGAAAAAGTGTATCAATTCCTTATCTCATCTACAAGTAAGGTCATGTGACTCAAAGCCCTGCACAGAAGTCTGAGAGACATAAACAGCCTCCAGACAGAAGAGCTGTCTGAGTCAGCAGCTGCAGAACTGGGTTTGGCCAGCATCGATCCCAGCAGCAGCAGCAGCAGCCAGTCTTCTTGCCAAGATCCAGGGCCTTTTTGTTCTCTGAACATTTGTCACCCTTGAACTGTCACGCTGTGTATTGCAGCACTGTGTGCTTCTCTTTGCAGGCTCCTATGAGCTGGCTTCCAGCTGGAGTAAGAGAATAACGGGACGGGGAAGGATGAGGGGGAGAGAGACACAAGTCTGAGTATTTCTCCACTGTTCAAAGCTCAGTGATATCACACATGAGAGGAAGCAAAGCCTCTGTCTCAGGAATAGCAGCAGCTTCAGTGTCTGCTCAGCTACCAGGAATACCAAGCAACAGCCAGGTCAAGTGTGGGATGTATTTACATCACCTAGGGAGCATTCTTAGAAACTTCATAAGAGCCTTAGAGAATTTGGTGTCCATGAGACTGAGGCACAATTATTAATGCAACTTCAGTTACACCCAAGGAGTTGTAACGCCCAGGTCATTCAGGTTACAACAGAGATTCCATTTAACTGTGGCACTATTGATTTGTCATTACATGTAATCTTATTCACTGTTTTCTCTTAAAAGTGAATAATTTAGCCTTCCTCCTAAGAAACACAAAAAGAGCAATGGAAGAGATTTCAGTCCAATGATGTTTTCATCGTTGTTCCTTAGGAGGCACATAAACTTTTAAACTTAAGCGCCCCTTCTAAGTTCTATTCTGGTGAGGTTGTGAGAGTTACAGAGGCCACTATAATTTAAACTCATAGCTTGATAGGAATAGTCAGCCCTAGTTACATGCCATCAATGGCTAATGCAATTTCGACACTTTAATTATGTACTTGTCTGAACACTTGTCACACTTCTGGTGACTTCAAAGTAATGTAGCTGTCTTGAGCACTAAAATTTTGCAAAGTGTTTTCTAATCATTTTTATTAGCTCTTCTTCACATTATATCACCATATGAGACATGAAGAGGTTAAGTAATTTGACCAAGACTAACCTGAACAGACAGGAAAAAAGATTGAGAACTAAAACAATTAGCTAAACAGTTCAAGTGAGATTAAAAACACATCTTTTTATTGTTATTTCTAGGCAGAGAGGGAAAGAGGAATCAGAATGGTTTACATTACTGATTATCAGTTAATCACTATAAAAACAAGATCAAAATGCGTGATCTCCAAATCAGTGTCAAAATAGCGTTTCTTAATGCGATGCTTTTAATTGAAATTATGAACCCTTTGCACTGTATTCAAAGATTCTATCAGTTCACAGCATCTTTGGAGTGTTACATATTTATATCACCACCTAGTGGACTGTGTATAATAAAGGCAGGCATGTGGCTCGGGATGGAAAAGGTGAGAATACAGACTCTCAGGTCGTCCTTTTACGTTCAGCAGACCTCTTCATTGTCTCACCTCTAGTGTTGAACCTGAAAATTTTGTTCTGAATATCAAGCCCCAGAGCAGGAAATGCACAGTCATGTTGTTAGCAGA